TTTTGAACTCGGCGAGTCAGTAGGGTGACTCGACGAGTAGGGTTGACCTGGAAGGTTGACTTTGACCAGGACTTTGACCTTGACCAGGGTTGACTTGGTTGTCCTTCGGGGATCAGTTAGACTCAGTGTTGCATTGATATTGGTAGTTCGGGGAGCAAGGGGAGCAGGAGTTCCGTGAGTTGCCAGGCAGCAGCTAGTGAGATCATCAACAAGTTCAATCAGTGCAGGTGAGTTTCCCTTTGTCTGAATGGGTCTAAGGCCACAATGTCAGCCAATGTAGTTATAATTAGAAGATCCGGGGGTTAGCCCTAGGCACAATATGCTAGTATGATTTTCAGGACGAGGTCCAGTAATAGCGGGCGGGTGCCCAAGGATTTGTTTATATGATAGTTTATACTTGTTGTTTGTGTGATACATGTATGTGCCTGGTGGGGAGGTGAGTATGGGCGAGGTCCCGTATCTCACCAATAGCAGAGTGTGGATGGGGTTCCACATCTCAATAGTCGCATAAAAGGGGCGAGGCCCAAGTTAGGGAAGGAGTGAGGGTGGGCTGGGCCCGTATCTCACTACCACTAGGAGCGTGGACGGGGTTCCATGACTCATCAGTAGCAGTACATGAGCGAGGCCCAGGATAGGCGAGGCCTTAGGACAGAACCAGTTGTATGTGTTTAGTTATGTGTTGTGATATGTTTATGTGATATTAATTGTTGGCGGGCGAGGCCCTATAACAGGCGGGGCCTAAGTAAAACAGATATGTATCCGAGCGGGGCTCGAAGCCAGGCGGGGCCTGGAGCGGCGGGGCCGTTGTAGCGGCGAGGCTCGAGGTAGAGGGCGAGGCCCAAGATAGCGGGTGTGGCCCAGTATGTGCAGTATGTGGTTATGCATGGTATGCGGTAGGGTGGGGAACTCACTAAGCTTCGTGCTTACGGTTTTCAGTTTTGGTTTCAGGTACTTCCGGTAGCGGAGGGAAGAGCTCGGGGTGATCGCATGGCACACACCATAGATTAGACAGCCTGGGAATGTTTACTCTGATAATAAACATGTGTTTTGAAAACTTATACTCATATTATGTTTTGGAATGATGATTTTAGTTTAAGTAATGATTTATTAAAAGAAATTTTTGGTCTTAAATTTTGGGTCGTTACACTAATAGTCCAAATATGGCCCAAATCACAAAACTCATCAGTTGTTGAGTACGCCCAACGTACTTAGACTTAAGCCATGCATACGCCACCTTTGGCCAGTATGCTCTACATACGAGCTGGGTACGCCCAGCGTACTCCACAACAGGTCCAATTCGCCATTAAGTGCTTAATTGGTTAAGCTACTAAGTCCACTTTTTAGATTTGGACCTAAATGATGTCTTAACATGTAAACTTGGAAACTTTACTCCTTTACATGTCTTAATGGGACCCAATAATAAAATCCATAATAAGAACCCTAACTCATGCATGGTCCAATAACACATAAAGATTGCATTTTTCATGCACAAGGAGCCTAAAAAATCCTAAGATCTACCCTCCTTGGCTTCTAGAGTATCTCATACTCTCAAGCGTGACTTAAAGGGCCATAAATGCACAAAAAGAAGACCTAACTAGATCTAACTTAATGAACCATCAAGTTAAGATCTTTATGTTGGGTTTTGAGCTCCATAATACCCTTATGGTGCACACACAACCCTATATGCTTTGGATCTAAGTTTTCACTATTATACATGCAAGATTGTTCCAAAGCATAAAACATACACTAGCATACAAAACTTGGATATATACAACATAAAACCAAGGTGGATGAATACCTCTTAGTGTAGATTAGAGTTCTTGCCCTTCAAGAGCTTAGCACCTCAAGTGTGATGCCTCAAATGGTTCACAAACACCATGGACAAAGGAAGACTTTGAGAGAGAGGATAAAAACTCCAAAATTGGCTATACACTTATTGGAAATGCTTGGGGTTGTAGTAGTGCTGATTTTGGTAATTATATGGTCCTTTTATAGTGTGGCAAAGTCTAGGGTTAGATCCATGCAAACCCTAATTCACATGACTCTTCATATCTCATGGATATATCATGGGTTATATGGGTTAAACCTTATGGACTATCACAGATGTTTAGCCCACCCTAACCAACCATGGATCATTAGCCCTACTATAAGGATTATTGATTTATATAATCAATCCCCATATATTTAATCAGTCTCTTTTGATCACTAAATTAATTCCAAATTAATTCTTAATAAATACTAATTAAATAATGTGATTCCTCAATTAATATATTATACTTATAAAGTTATAATATATTAATAAACCACAAATAGTCTATTTCTCAAACGTCCATCCTATCAGATTGTTCTGGTGAAGGCAAACCAAATGGACCATGCTACTTTCGGGTCAACTACATACCAATTATAGTTATGGGCTTAGACACCTGATCCAACACTTTATACTTCCAAAAAGCTTTCCAAGTTAGTGATGGTTCTGGATCCACAAGCTCTAACCACACCGATGTAACTTCCAAGAGTTCTTCTTTCAAGATCACCAAAAACACATTCAAATGTCACTACCAAGCTCAAAACACTCAAATGGCAATTAGGGTTTCGTTCTCATGGTTTGGAGAGGTGGAGGCTGGTCATAAGAAGGTCTAAGGGCAACTTAAGCGTTTAAATATGGCTCAAACCCTAAAAATTAGGGTTTATCGCAGGTGACCGTACGCGCAGCATACTCCACATACGCCCCGCGTACGTGAATGCCTCTGTGATCAAGATATCGACCCAGTACGCCCAACGCACTCGGTCAGGGACCAAAATGCAATAATTTTCAAGTTAAGGGAAAAAAGGGAATGATACTTGAAATGCAAATGTTACAAAAACTCTCAACCATTGTAGTCTGTCAAACTCCTTGCTCAAGGTTGGTTGTGTACCGACCCGACCATAAATAACATATGTGTACGTTCCAGGTTTATTTGTGGTATGGCTTATGTATGGTACTAACATTAGTTGAGGCATTTAACATAAAGGGTTGAGTTGGTAGTTTTAGTTGGAGGTACGTTAGAATTTTATTAAGTGTTCTCATTGCGGGCCAGAGTATATACAACTCTTATATGTTTAGGATTGGTGAGGTTTGCAGTATTATTAGTTTTTGTTTTGTACTCCAAGACTACCAAGTACGGATGAGGGCCAGACAAGAAGCATCGGAGAGCAGGATCATTTTAGCATATAGCTATTCTGAAATCCAACAACCCAAGCGACCCTTCAAACCAATTACCTATGCTATAAATAGTCAAGAAGTAGGGTAATTAATAATAATACTTTTATTAGTAGTCTGTTGCTATAGTTGTATTCATCTTTCGAGGGTACGAGTTCTCTATAGCCAATTTAGCTCTGATACCAATCTGTCACACCCTCGACCGAGGCGGCAGAACATGTCGGACTGTGCGACTTAGTTAATGGATCACATGTAAACTGAATATATAACACAAGTACAACAATAAACAAAACAACATTTGTATTTCATCTTAATGTTTGAATACATGGTTCTTACAAATAATAGTATAGTACATGAAGTCCATGACTAATCCGTCATTTGAATTGCTCAATTACGGATTCCGTGAGAATACATATTGTTTTGAGGGTCAACACACGGTTGTTGAGAGTTACAGGTTTTCTGTTAACAACAATGATACTTTTAAAAAGTCTAAAAAGTATTTTCTTTGGAAGTAAAACCATACTTAAAATTGTGTTTGTAATGAGTCTTTGAATAGCCATTGAAAACCAAAAGATGTCTTCACATAAGTAAATTCATACTTAAAACTATGTTTGTAAAGTAAATAACCATTGAAAACCAAAAGATGTCTTTGCATAAGTAAATCCACACTTAAAACTGTGTTTGTAAAGAATCTTTGAATAACCATTGAAAACCAAAAGATGTCTTTGCATAAGTAAATCCATAATTGTGTATGCATGTATAATGTTTAGATTCCGATAATGCTCAATATGTTTCACAAATCTAACATTATTTTGATCTGTCCAAATTTAAAGTTTACTTGAAAACTTGGAACATGGAGAACGTAAGGATATTTATAAGCCTTTTGGATTATGAAGTCGACGCAGTATGTAATTCAACCACTGTCTATTGGTTTTACACTTTAACACACCTCAAATATAAAATTTAATTTAACTCCTAAGACTTAATATTAGGACCTTATCCATAAACATTTTCAAATATTTGTATATCATCAATTAAATGACGTTCATATTGTCTGTATATGAAGTGTCACAGTTAAGCAACATTTTGAGTGCTAATGCTAAATTAGAGATCCATCCATCTCAATTTACACAAAATTCATCATTTCTCTTCTCACAAATGACCAAATATGATCAAAAGAGGGGGTTTTCTGTCTTTTAAACCATGAACTTCCAATTTAGCCCCAATATTTAGGGTGCTGGTTGTGGAAAATTTTCCAGTTTTCTAGGAAAATTTTCCAAGAAAAACGGAAATTTTCGTTCAGTTTCCAAAATTTTCCAAGAAAATGAAAATTTTCATTTTTCCAAATTGTATGTAAATTTGAAAAGTGATTTTTACAGTTTTCCAAAGTTTTCCAAATTTCTAAGATGGAAAATGAAAACTCCCCCGGTTTCAACCAAACGCGTTTTCTAAAATTTTCATTGAAAATTGAAAACGAAAACTCAACTCTATTTTCTGAAAACATTTTCTTAGAAAATGAAAACAGTTTTCCACAACCAAACGCACCCTTAGTTCCTTCAAAAATTTCCAAAAATTGATACTTCCGAATCAATTGAACCCAAAAAATGAGTAATAGTTAAAAAAACATAACAATTATGTCTCAAATGATAAAAATAATAATATACTTCCAATTCCAACATACCTTAATTTCCATCATAGGGAAATTTCAAATTTATGTACTGATATCATCAACACCATATGTTCATTTACATCAGGTTTCACATTTAAACACAAATTAGAATCTATTAATCACATTTTCACCCTGACTTAAAAATGTAATTAGAGGAATTGATTGTATTTCCACTATGGTATTTAGATACTTGTTACTATCTTGGATATTTGTATTTCTAGTATTTAAGATAACTAAATGTTTCATTGCACAAAGTATTAAAGAAAAACACCAAAGGCCTATGTCAAAATCACCATAGCATTAGCAATCCAAAAATTGTTGCAATTAGTACAATTGTCCAACATTGGAACATTTGATAAAACTTGATCAAAATTACCCATCTTCCATTATTGTCATCCTAACAAGAACACAGATTAAACCTGGTAAAACGAGTTAAATTTCAAAAGTGTGATTAACCCATTAACTAACAACACTGTAAAAAGATGTTAACCTGTTGGGATTAGCAAAATCCACCATTGATTCAGCAGCTTCGAGCAACATAAGCTAAAGAAATAGCAGCTAGAACAGTGGTTGCAGATGACACCATTGTCCAGAAACTCTTACCTTTGTTAACCAATTCAAGTTGCTTCTTCAATTCTTCCACATTAGTCTCTTTGTCCTTGAATGCTTTCTTCATTGCTTCAGTTTCTGTTACATGATTCTTGATTTCTTGATCAATACCCATGTTGTCATCTTCCTTTGAGCTACGAATCACATTGGTGGTTTTCAAGATCTTCAAGATTTGATTCTTTTTACCTTCGGATAGTTTTAGTTTGGCTTTTGTGTCATCATGTTCCTTTTGGGTTTTGGCAAGTGATTCTGCTAACTTGTTCTTTTCTGCAACGAGTTTTTCAGTTTCTGTTGTCATCTTTGAAAGTTTCTTGCGTGTTTCTTCAACACCCTTTTCCATTTTGGAAATCTTTTCATTTGAATTCTTCAATTTGTGTTTTTCTTCATCAAGCTTGGCTCGAGTATTTTTCGATTCGGTTGTGGCTCGATCGAATGCAGATTTGTGGTTGTTGATTTCAGACTCTAGTTGCTTGATTTTATCGATTTGAATCTTGTTGGAGTTCTCAAGTGCTGTGATTGTGTTCTTGAATTTGTTAGACTGTTCTTCGATCTTTGCTTTCTCTTCTAACATTTGGTTGATTGTAAGTTTCTGGTGTTCTATCATCTTCAAGGCTTCCTGCAAATTTTTGGAGACCAAACACTTTTCTTGAGTCAGTTTTTGAATACTTGCCTCCAGTTCTTGTTTTTCTTGCACCAGGATATTGATCTCTGTACTCATTTTGGCTTCCTTTTCAGAATCCATGGCGTGTATGTTCTCCAAATCAGCAACTTTCATAAGCAATTGTTCTTCCCCCTTTTTAAGCTTATAGACCAATTCATTCAGCCTATGAACAGAAACATTTAACTCGTTTTTCTTTCTGTCTTGAACATCTCTATCCACATCAATCTCCATCTTCTCTTTCATCATCTTCTCAATATCTCTCTTCAAAACATCAACTAAACGATTTGATTCAACCAAGTTCATTTCAACCAGATCTTTTTCTTTCAGGATTGAATCCACCTTTCTTTCGAGTGTTTTCTTCTCCTCGATTAAACCAAGGTACGCAGCCTTAACTTTTTGGGAATTTTCAGTAATCTCTGCCTCCCTCTTCTCCGCTTCAGTTAGTTTGGATCTCAACCCTTTCTCATATTGAATCCGATCATGGAGCTGTGCTCTGATTCCATCTCTCTCCTCACAAATCTTTGACAAAGCGACATTCTCTTCACCGATCTGAGTCACAAGTGTATTCAATCTGGCGTTCAGAGAACCAATTTCTGATTCCTTCGATTTCTTCGTTTTCTCAATGGCGTTTTTCTCCTCCAAAAGCCGACTCATTTCTCTCTCCAAACCTCCGATTTTCTCCTCCATTGCAGCCTTCTCCCTACGACTAACCTCCGTCATTTCATCCAACTGCAAAGCAACAACCTTAGAAACCGATTCCTTCTCGATCTCTAACGTCACTGCTCGTTCGGTTAACCCGCTCAACTCAGATTGCAACGAAACCTTGTCGGATTTGCACCGATTCAGTTCAGATTCCAGAGAGCAGTTAATCTGTGTCAGCGAATCCACCTGTTGACGGCGCTCGACAGTCTCTTTGAGCAACATAGCATTTAGCGATTTCAAGCTGTCGAGTTTCTCAGAAGCAGCGTCTTCAATAGTTTGGCGAGGGATTTCATGTTCGGTTGTGGGCGAATTGTTTTCTTCGGATTGTTGTTTTGTTTTCTTTTTCGCCATGGATTAGGGTTTGGTGGTGAGATCGAAAATGAGAGGCTCTAGGGTTTTCAGAAGTTAGTAATGGGGGGCAAGAAGAAGAGAGGGTTTTAGGGTTTGGTTTTGAATTCAAATTTTTGGTAGGGACTACGTATTACACGCCGTAAGTTGAGTGTCCATGTGACCAGTGGACTAGTGGAGTAGTAGTTGGTAAGAATTAAATGGTTCCTCAAATAAATAAAAAATAAAGTAAAAATAAATACATCACCAAATGGTGTAATGTCATTTGGCTAGAGGTATTCAAAAATCAAATTGGATTTTTTTTGGAAACGAGAAATATTATTCATAAAAATAAAAATTGCTGACTAATAAGTAACTATTAAAGGAAGAAAAAAAAAAAACAATAGAAAACAGTGTCATTTAAGAAGGAGCAACTAGTAATAAGGTGCCGGTAACAATTACAAAATATTAATACAAGTAAACATTAAGAGGAAAATAACATCAAACATTCTAATTAAGACTATTAAGAGTGACATGATGTTTCAATCGATTGAAAGAAATAAATTGAATTTCATCACATTTCATTTTTATAAAACATAAATGATATATTTTAGGAGTGTTGATTAAGTATAACTTTTGGGATTCAGGTTAAATAATTAAGATATGATTCTATATAAAAAAAATCGATGTATTAAAATTCAGATAATCATGTGTGGGTAATTTGGATATTAGATCGTGGGTATTACCCCCAAAAATGCTATAGGTAAGAAATGTACATATTACCGCCTAAATTTTCTTATTAGGTTATTAAAAATAAGGGTAAATTACACGAATGGTCCCTGTGGTTTGGGGTAATCTGCGTGGTTGGTTCCTAAGAAGTTTTTTTTAACTCGGACGATCCCTAATATTTGTTTTTGTTGTGTCTTTAGTCCTTTGTTGACTTGAAATGACCATATTACCATTTTTAAATCTTTATTCAGTTTTTATTATCGTATTAAATTAAAAAAAAAAATCACTAATAAAAAAAGAACATGGTCCCACCATCCCAATACTCATTATCGACCACCTAACAACCACCTGCAACACCACCACCACCGTCAGTTTCCTCCACCACTACCACTGAAAACTTTCATCGGGAAAACTGAAACTAGAAATCCACTCACCGAAAACCTAATTGCCAGAAAACCAATCACATTCCTCTTAGTTCGCAAGAACGACACCCTGCCCCACCTCTTTCGTCTCACATAGTAAACACAATTTCGACATACACGACATCATCTTTTCTCAAACCCATAAAACACACAAACTGAAAATCTGATGAAAATAGAAACGATTACACAATATGATGAAAATGAAAAAACACTCCACCTCCTTCTCTGCCTACCTGCAACTTCCCTAGTGATTAAATATTATACCAAAAGAACAACAAAAAATTTCTCCAACCCCAGGTGATGAAAATAGTATATTGCAGTAAGGGGGAGGATCTTCGTCGACATCAGAAATCTGGATCGTTGTCGGAACCTATCAATCTTGATATGCAGAAACGGCCACCATATGTACTCCGAACACCTTCGATTTGCAACATCTGGTTCGTTTTAGGGATTTGAAGCAGGGGGCTTTCATTTTTTTGGCTTTGAAAAAGCATGTGGGTTTCCAAACACCACCACTACCTCTGTTCGATTGCATATCATAGAAAATGATATGGTTCCGTTCGATTGCAGATCGAATATACACCGAAGTTGAGAAACAGAGATACATTGCAGTAGACCAACTAGAGATGAGATAAAAGAAGCTTGATGGTGTGAGGTTGAGAAAGGGTTGGTTCACCGGAACCATCCAAGGCAGCGACGACTATTTGAGGGTTTCTTCTTTCTTGGTTGAGTTGAGAAACAAAAAGATTGTATCGAAAGTAAAAGGTAGGGTTGGGGGTTGGGATATCGGGTATGGTGGTGGGTTTTGTTTTCTTTCTTTCTTTTTTTTTTTTCTTAAAAAATATTAATAAAATAAATGACAAGTAAATAAAAAAGAAACTAATAAGGGTAAAAAAGTCATTTTAAGTCAAACGGGGACTAAAGACACAACAAAAACAAACATTAGGGACCTTCCGAGTTAAAAAAACTTCTTAGGGACCAACCACGCAGGTTACCCCAAACCACAGGGACCATTCGTGTAATTTACCCTAAAAATAACCAACACGACCGACCACAATACAATATATATATAGATTAATTTTGTGTTCCCTTAAATATAGTAACAAGATCTCATAGGTTGAATTTTTTGTATTTTTAGTTTTTATTTTTTGCTTTGTCAGTTTTTCTTCTTAGCTTGCCCACTTTTTAATGTTGACAGGGTAATGGGTTTCATCGCTTCTACTATAACTACGTGTCTTCCACTGCCTTTACTATCCAATACGATGGTTACACGATTGCTTCCACCGCTCAATACTTAGATAGATTTTTCTTTCTGTCTCCGGTCATTCTCTACCCCTTTGCTTTCCTCCACCGCCTAAACTGATGTCGGCTCTGTTTCCGTTTTCATGATGGGTTTCATGTCGTCTTCTTTTATGAAACTTTCATTCTTCGTCTTATTCTCTGAAGCTTTCTGGAATGTAGGGTAAGTTCTTCTTCACTTTTCATGGGTTTCCATTTTGGTTTGCTTACGCTTTTGTCTACAAATCTATTCACCAAAATACCCTCTACGTTCATAAGTTTCGATTTGGTTTGCTTATTTTAATGGGTTCTGATTTATTCAGCCGATTAATTTCAAGAAACTCAGAGGTTATATGTTCATTAGGCGTTACATAAATCTTTTGCCCATAATCTTTGGTTAGATCTTTACAAACCCCACATGTTACTGATTTACTTTTTAATTTTGATTTTTGGTTGCAGTTAATGTTTAATTTTGATGAAGAAAGAGATATGAGTTTGTTCGGCATATTAGTAGGGCGCATAGTGACTTTGTTTAATCTTATGATGTAATTTTAATGTTTCATATTCATATTTTTCATTCGTTGTTATTAACAGTAACCCTAACATCTTCTATCCTCTCTCTCTCAATTTTTATTTTTCTATAGCTATCAAGTTCTATCCTGTGACAACCCGAAATTTCCATTTGTATGAACATTATCTATTCAATAGAAGCTAGTCCAGTTTCTGTAAATTTCAGACTTGTCCGAACAAGTTTGTGTACATTAGGGTTTACGTTTCTGGACGTATCAGGAGAGTGGATGCTCCTGTAATTGTGAAACTTGAACATTTTAAGTTTCATAATGTTATAGTCCGACTTCTGGAATAAAAATATTTTCTGTCAAAATATTCCAGGACTATAAATAGATTTCTGAATTTAATTAATTCATTATTCACAATTCCAACTAGAGAAAAGCCAATTCTCTCTGACGGATCTTCGGGTTCCTCATCCCGGATTGTGAGTCTACTTTCCTAAACGTGTTTTAATACTTGTTATATGCTTTATAACATCATTTATATGTCTAAACTGCAAGATCCGAGAGTTTACCGCCCAAGAACGTTCTTGGGGAGTAAACTCCAAAACGGAGCCTAAAGGCTTCCTAGTCCCGATTCCTTGTTAGACAACTTGTTTAGGGGTTAGTGTATAAACATTTGGGGACTAAAAAGCAACCAAGAAACACAAGTTATTGGAGTTTACGGCCAAGGAACTTTCTTGGGCCGTAAACCCCTTTTTATGGGTCAAAAATGCCCTAACTTGCCTCCTTGAGCCTAAGGACTTTAACCACTAATGCTTGTGACTATTTTGGACACCAAAACACTTCAAGATCTTAGGGTTTTAGGAGTTTACGGCCAAGGAAAGATCTTGGGCCGTAAACCCCTTTTTCTTGTGTTAAACATGCCACAAACACCCCTAAGGCCTTAAGACAATTTAGCTTGAACACATGGGACTTGAATGGGGATCAAAGGACTTCATAATCACTCCTTAAAAGGAGTTTACGGCCAAGGAACATATCTTGGGCCGTAAACTCCAAGTGATGACCTAAATGTGTGCATCTTGTCCCTATTAGCCTTAGATAAAATCATGGAAGCCATCCTTGATGTGCAAGTGCCTCAAATGAATTAAAATCCATCACCCATAGGAGTTTACGGCCGTAAACTCTAGGGTATATGGACTATAGGCCGTAAACTCCCCTATGGAGCATTCTAGGGCCTTAAACTACTTCATGTATTATTCCAACAAAGCTAGAAGTGTTCTTGGATCAAGATAACACTTTAAAACACCCAAAACCACCATGTGAGGAGTTCACGGCCATAAACCCATGAGTTTACGGCCGTAAACTCCAAAGGGTGGGGTTTGTTGGGTGGTGAACTCTTATGCAAGGCCATTTGATGTTTCAAACCCTTTTGCCTTGTCCCGTATCAACTTAGATGCAACCATTAGGACCTATAACACTTATACAAAGTGTATACATGTTCCTAATTGTGTTAACTTACTTTGTTAAGTTATTATGTGGCTAATTAGTTATATATATGCTTATTATATGATAACTAGGCTCGAACGTGTGAACAAGTCTCCGTTTGACACTTAGCACGGTACCCGATACATCAATTCAATCTACTCACCACAAGTGAGTTTATACCCCTTTAATCAACCTTTGAAATACTTTTAAATGTTTTAAATACTTTATGGGGGGGAATACAAGTCAAATACTTATAGTTATTACATCAATCACATGTGATTGCATTAATCACATGTGATTAATAACTAGAAAACCAATGATTTTATCACTGTTCAACTGTTTATCAAACTGTTTCACTTCAAATGTTTTACAAACTCTTTTTACTTATCAAATGCTTTTATTAAACTTTGTTTTATTTCTTATAAATTGCATGCCCATATATGTATATATATATAAGAAATGTTTAAAGGGCTTAGGAAGGCCATCCGCCCTATTTCCTTTTCGCGCACTGAGATGTGGTCTGGTGGGATTTCGGGTGACCATCCGAAGGTCGTTTCAAATTAGTTATATATCATATATACATGTATAGACATAAAAG